CCAAATGAGTAGCCTGGTGAAGGTCATTGCCAGAGTCCTGCCTGTTGTTTCTGGGAGAATGATCTTTCCCTTCGGTGTCCTCCATCAACGTGTGGGTTTGAGCTGTCCATTCCTTCTTTATTATGGAGTCAATAGGCCCCACTGATGTGAGGGCCATTTGCCGGACAGCCAGGCCCTCAGTTGGGAATGAAGGACAGCAATTCATAGGGGAAGCCAAATAGTCTCTAGGGGGGGCCAAAATTTCCTAGTGTCCTTTTGTCCAGGAGGGAGAAGCCTTCTTTCTCCGTGCATCATGCTACAGACGTGTCCAGTAGTAAAGACATAGTGATTGTCTGCGTGTATGGTGCTGGGCTTTCCTTTTCCTTATCTGCGATCCTGGGTCAGATTAATCAGTTCTGCTCTCTGGGCTAGGATACCTGACATGGCCCTAAATAATTTCAGTTAAAGTGGCTATTACGGCTCCCATGTATTGGTTTCATCTTTCTTCTCATGACAGTCATGGGTGAGCACCTGTAGGTCGTCACAGGGTAACAGAATTGATGGCACTGGATTTCTCAAACCGGACTTCAGGGTAGACCAGGAGTAGGGCACGGTACTAGGTCACACAGGCATTAGACAGCCAGCGTTCTGGTGTTCCTCGGAGGAGGGTCTCAATCAAGTGGGTACTGTGAGTTAGAAGATCCTGACCCAGAATTAACTTGTTTGTTTTCCATTAGACTAGCCGTAGCTGCCATAGCTCTTAGACAGGTGGTCTACCCTGTGGCTTCTTACAGAGCCCACTTATGAGGACAGCTATGTCACAGGGTGTTTCCATGGCCCTCAAATTTGGGTTGAATTCCTATTGTCTTTTGTTTAATGGACAAACAGATGAAACTTAGTTTTGAGGCAGCTGGAAGTACTGGGACTGGAGCTGAATTCGCTCTGTAGACCAGGCTAGCCTAAAACTCAAGACATCCCCGCTTTCATCTGCCTCCCAAGTGCCGGGATTAAAGGCGTGTGCCAGCACCGCCTGATTCAAAGTGGTTTTTAAAGCCTCAAATGCCTTTTCTTCCATTTCAGTCCAGATTAGGGGTTCGGTGTCCACTTTGTGCTGATGTATAGGGCCTTGCTAGTCCCACAAACTCTGGTATCCAGAGGCAGCAATACCTGACTGCACCTAGGAACTCTTGGACCTGTGTCTTAGTCTTTGGTTTGGGATCTGAAGGATGGCAGCAATCCCACTCTGAGACAGGCTCCTTTAGCCTCCCCTCGGCTGGTATCCAGGAGAGAAAGTCTCTGATGGGACTTCTTAGCTGCATTCTGTAGCCCAGGGTCTGTAACTCTTAGACCCTCTGGAGCCCTTTCATAATCTTTTCCCAGGAAACCTCTAATGGAAGGATGGGAGGGTCAGCTCTTAGTGCCTCATTAGACAGGTTGGTGAATTTTGTTTTGTTTTTTTGCTTTTTTTGAGACAGGGTTTTTCTGTGTAGTTTTGGAGCCCGTCCTGAAACTTGCTTTGTAAATCATGCTGGTCTTGAACTCACAGAGATCCACCTGCCTCTGCCTCCCAAGTACTGGGATTAAAGGTATTAAAGGTATATGCCTTTACCACCTGGCAGGGTTGTGTTTTTTTAATTATTTTTTTAAATTTATTTATTATGTATATAGTGTTCTGGGCACCAGATCTCATTATAGATGGTTGTGAGCCATCATGTGGTTGCTGGGAATTGAACTCAGGACCTCCAGCACAGCAGTCAGTTCTTTTAACCTCTGAGCCATCTCTCCAGCCCTGGGTTGGTGAATTTTTAAATCTTTGGGGCAACCTGGTTCATGTAAGTTGCCCAATATAATTTCCCACTGGGTCAGTCCACATAAAAGCAAAGATGGGTTGACTCACCTCTGCCAATGAAAGACTGAAGAATGTATCCTTCAGGTCCAAGACAGTGTGCACCTGTTTCTCCGGAGGACTCAGACTTATGAGAGTCAGAGGCCCCAGGTTTCTTTATAGGCAGGAGAGGTGCATTCCACGGTGACTGCCAGGGCACCAGGATGCCTGTCTCTCCAAGCCAGGTAATACGGACTGCAATGGTCCTGTCCACACCTACCACGTCAGAAACTGAGACCCCGTGAGCTTGTTTGTGCAAGCTCTCTAGGGTTCCATGGCACACTTGAGTTTCAGAATCACTCAACCAAATCAGCTTCTTTTCTTTTGTTTTGTTCAAGTGAGACAGAATCACCGGTAGTCCAGGCTAATGAGCTAGGTATGTAAGTAAGGATGACCTTGGACTCTCGATCTTCCTGCTTTTAAATCTGAAGTAGTGGGATTGTCTGCATGAACTGCCAGGACCAACTTTCCAGATCATTCTTCATCTAGGCTTTAAACCATAGAATCCCTTTCAACTTATACATATCTCTTTGACTAGACTCCGATTCTGTATCTTCACTCACTGTTTAGGTCGTCGTGGAAAGTCTACCGCAGATAGGGAAATCTGGAAGAGGGATCACTCTTTTTTTTTTTTAATATTTATTTATTATGTATACAATATTCTGTGTGTATGCCTGCAGGCCAGAAGAGGACACCAGAGCTCACTACAGATGGTTGTGAGCCACCATGTGGTTGCCGGGAACTGAACTCAGGACCTCTGGAAGAGCAGGCAATGCTCTTAACCTCTGAGCCATCTCTCCAGCCCGAGGGGTCACTCTTGACTCGAGTAATGAGACGGGAGATGGAAGGGCCCGGACAAGCATTTCTGGTGATGCCGACTCTAGTGAAGTTGGTTGGTGGTGGGCGTAGAGATGGGGTGGCTCAGAGATTCCTACCTCGAATGCTTTTGTCGGTGATGGTAGCACGTGACTGTGGTGGCATCAGAATGGGAAGAGCTTATGCTGGCCCGGTCAGAGCTACACAGTGAGATCGTCCACGCTAATAACGTGGGAACGCTGACAAGGGTGGCTGCCGGAAATTTTCAGATAAAATTTCTAGCAAATGTGGACTGGGCGTGAATGGGCGTGAAGATTGGACATAAATGTTTAGAAAGCGTTCTCTAGGGCTCTTAGGAGCAGACCAGAAAACTGGTTCAGAGCACTTAAATAAGGTGGATCAAAATCGCTGTTACTCCAGCTCCAGGAGATCTGCCGCCCTCTTCTGGCCTCCTCGGGCACCCCCAAACTTATACATATAAATAAAAAGCATACATGTGCAGAGCTACACAGTGAGATCGTCTACGCTAATAACGTCGGAACGCTGACAAGGGTGGATGCCGGAAATTTTCAGATAAAATTTCTAGGAAATGTGGACTAGGCATGAGGATCGGACATAAATGTTTAGAAAGCGTTCTCTAGGGCTCTTAGGAGCAGACCAGAAAACTGGCTCAGAGCACTTAGATTAGGTGGATCACAGTGCTGTTACTCCAGCCCCGGGAGATCTGCCGCCCTCTTCTGGTCTCCTTGGGCACCCCAAACTTATACATATAAATAAAAAGCATACATATGCATAAATAGAGTTTGTATACCACGATCATTAATGTCTGGCAGATAGGTAGCATTGACGAAGAAAAGAACTTGAGTTGATTGAGGTGGAAGGTACCATATATGCAGGGCAAGAAGAGAATATGATGACAGGGGTGGGAGGCCATCCAAAGGCAGGGAGGGAGATTAGCGTGAAACTTCAGCAAAATCAGGTAAATCCAGAAAGAGGAGACAATAGGCAATGTCAGAGCCTGCAGAGAAACAGACGCCAAAACACTAGAAAAAAATTTCTCTAGGAGTTAGATAGTCTTCAACTGGGATATAATTTCAGAACAGGCAGAATGATAAATTCTGAAGGTTGGGGAGACTGAGGGTTAAGAAGATTATCACTATAAAATATTCGGGGACTAGGTGTGTGGTGCACGACTTTAATCTCAGAGTTTAGGAGGCAGAGGCAGGAAGATCTCTGAGTTCGAGGGACGAGGAGGCAGCAAGAAGCACCTCCACCCGAGAACTTTACCTGTTCTGCCTCCAGGATTCTCTTTACTACTATTATCATTATGAATTTTTCATCTATTTTACATACCAACCACAGCGCCCCTCCCTCCTCCCTTCCCGTTCCCTCCCCCACCTCCTGCCCGTCCCCTCCATCCACTCCTCCTTCTAGGATTCTCTTAGCGCTGACTCTCGTGGTTGTCCTCTGGCCCTCACATGAGCACCTGGCCTGCTCCCCCCCCCCCGCCATAAATAATGTAATTTAAAGAATTTAAAATGCTTGGGCATCAGAAGATATTTGGGTCACTGACAATGGGTACCATCAAGGGTGCAGAAAGATTTCTTTTTTTCTTTTTTTTTTTTTTTTTTTTTTTTTTTTTGGTTTGGTTTTTCGAG